ACAGGACTGGTTCCACTGTGGATAATGACTCTCTGACCAGCTTCAGCAGCATCTTCACAAGGTCTTTAGCTTCTGTTCTGGGCTTGATTCACACATTTCAACCAGAACACTTCATCTCTGGAACACAGAACCCGTCTCCTTCCTGAGCCTATGATGGCTGGACATTCACATGGTGGTTATACTTGCATATCAAAAGCTTCCAAAGCCATGACATCATCATCTGGGCTTTCCCAAATAGTTTGAAGGATCTTAGTGGATGTAAACTTCTGACTTTAAAATTTTTTTTCTCTCTCATTATTCTGGCATTTAGCAAACAATAATATTGGCAATCCTGACTGACCTAAAACAGGAAAAGTTTAGTCTGATTTAATGTTTTATAACCACTGGTCATGGAAGTGTCTGTGTTCTGGTCACACAATGGGACCAATGTCCTTTAAAGCCACACCTGACAAGGGTGTGGGTCAACTCCAGTGTCAACCAGCTCAGAAACGTTTGGTGCACAACTGACTAAATTTAACCCCTTTTTAATTGCAGCACCAGACACTATAATTTGAACTTGTTCTCTGAGTCAGAAAAGAAGAACATGTGCATGCAGCATTTATACTTCTGTGTCTCATGATCTTGCGTGGCATGACCAGCTTGTTATTTGAAGGTGAAAGTCAAAACAAAAAGTCTCACCCCTGCAGGCTGAGCCTGGAAGCTTCACTGCTCGGCTCTGGAGATGGTCCACTCTGCTCACCATTAGGTCCTCTCTCGGCTTCATGCAGGTTAAGCCTGACCTCAGACATCACCTTTTCTCCTCTCAGCACAACACAAAGACCTCATGCACTGCAAGTCAGCATTACTTTACCCTTTCAGTGTGTACTGTAGGTTAAAATTCATAAAACCGACACTACTGTGGCGATGTACTAACTGTTAGCCCTTCAGGACTTCGCTTAGCTTCATTTCTGTTGGTGAGGTTCAGATTCAGAGATACTTTACAGAGATAGAAAGTTTTAGCCACTTGCCGTGAGCTCTGTTTCTTTCTTTCTTTTAGTTTCACGGAATAAGCTGTAATCACAGCACCTGGCGTTTAAAGAAAAGCCAAAATGACAAAGTCTGAGACAGCAGTTTAAGGTTAGCTTCAAGTTCCTATTAACAAGCCTGTGACAACGCTCGCCGCGGGTCAAAAGTTGTCGCTAGAGTCGGTCTAAGAAAACCGAATCACCTGGTACAATAAAAAACGAAACACGACTGAAGTAATGCAGCAATACGAGCTGCTGTTTATCTTTTGTCATCAAGGCGAACTACAGGAAAAACATTCATGGCCGTACTTCCGGCGTAAAACGATGTCGTCATCAACCTGCGCCGCAACATTTTTTATTTTATTTTTATTTTGGCGAGAAAATGGACAAATAAAAAGGAAAGTCTGTGTGCTACAGTAAGTGTTTACAAGCTTTAAATTAAAAGAAAAAAAAGCAATTTTGCCTAAATCATTAAAGAAATGAGGAAATCAGGTCACTAAGAGACTTAAGGAGGAAGTTTTTGGAGGAAGGAAGCTGACACAAACGTCTCCAAAATTTACAGAATACTTTTCATATTTGTTCAGTTTTGCCTCATTTACTTTGTTCAACAATTTCACACAATTACAAAGTCAGTAAAAAGTATTTACCAAAAAACTTTACCAGGTCAAAGACGAACAGCTCAGATTCATGAGGAATGAATCTAATCTGGGTTTTAAGATTAAATTTAGTTTCCTCTGAGTTTCTACTTGCAGGAGGGAAAATACAAACATCTCCAAAAAAAACGCACATTTACGTATGTGGAGAAACAGCAGTAACTCCATTAATGACTTTAATTATCCCCAACATTAAAACGGGTTCAATCATCTTCATGAACTGCAGTAAAATCAGTCCTGAGTGCTGAATTCCTCACAGCCAGATGCTGTTTTACAGTGAAAGTTTGAAAAATCAAAACATATCAAAGCACTTTCATGTCAGGTGTTATTAGAGTTTCTCAGGTTCCCACTCGGATATTTTCAAAAGTGACATTATTGTGCGTACAGAACAAGTAGCCAACAATAAAAGCACATTTTATTTTACCATAAGTTGTTGTAATAACATAAATTATCATCACACCTGATCTTAAATGACCTGTGGTTGTGTGTCACTTCAAGATTTTCAGTGGCTGTGAATTATCTCTGACGGAGAGGGGCGTTTGATTTAAATCAAAGTTGGATATTTTTCCTAGATTTTTCAGATTTTTTGATTTAAAATTAAAACAGTAATCATTGTTTGTATGTAAACAAATGCCAGTGCTGGGCTTATTGTGTCACCACTGGAATGACTTTTTAAATCAGAATATTACTGCTTCTGTCTGTGAGGCTCCAGCAAAGCAGTGACGTTATAATTATAATGTATTAAAAAGAGAAATTATCCAGTTGTTGGAATAATTATCACGACTCACTTCCACACAGTTAAAAACCAGTAAATGCTAAGATAAAGAACACATTTTAAAGGGACATTTCATTGATTCCGTGGGAGGAACAGAGGCAGTGATTCGTTGAATTTTAGCCTTAAAAAAAAAAAAAAAAAAAAGGATTCTACGTTGAATGACAACTCAGTGAAATCTTTCTTTAGACGTTTGCTGCCTGAGTAACAGCACACTTTCTGTTTCTAACACAGCTGCTGTTATTTCTGGCAACTGGTTAGTTTCCGGTTCTGAAACAATAATGAAGGTGACAGTGAATAAAAGGTCCGGAGGGTCCAAAACCATTTGATCATAGATGTTGAAACTACGGCTCATATGAATGTTCAGTCACATTATAACGTATGCAATTAAATATAGTGACTTTATTCAATTTTCCATTTAAAGAGTATTACTTATTAAAAGGGACACAAGTTCCTTAGAAAGAGAAACAGATGTTGGACACACGTAGCAGTTTGTACCCCATTATCATTATTATTGGTGTTGTTGTTGTTGTTGTACCCGACTGACTTCCCGACAACAAACTGTTGGATCAGACTGAATCTGTACAGAAACAAACACACACCATCAGTTTGGAGATTTTATTTTTCAAAAATACATAATGAAAGTGGTTCAGAATTAAACAGACAGGGACCTGCCTGGCACTCAATTAAAAAATAATAATAATTAAAAAAGCTTTTAAAAAAAACGACAATCAAATCATCATTATAAACATTTTTAAATCAAGGTGATACAGTGATCAAGCAAAGGTTTGTCGTGAGCTAAACTTCAAGTTTATGGAGGTTCTTCATGTAAAAATCAGTTTATAAGTCACCACCTCCACGTGTGTGTGTGTGTGTGTGTGTTAGTTCGTCATGTCATTGGCAAATAAAAATCTCTGTGAACCCTCAAGTTCATCATCAGTGTTCAGCTCGGAAGATTAAATCCTTTAGTTTACACGGTAATAGAAGGACAAAGCTTGTATCCAGAGCAGGACAGAATGAAGGATGTGAACGAGGCTCATGCAGAATGAATCACAGAACACAGGCTCCACGTGCACAGAGCGCCAACTCATCATCAGTGAACCGTCTGCAGCATTGCTTCACTGTGATGTCACAAGTCTCCTCCTGTTGGTTCTATTGCACATTCATGTAACTCGTGTTCAGGACGATGAAAACGATTCTACGTGCATCAGACGCGTTCGGTGCGATTGTCGACTTTTCAGTTCCACGTTGAGGTTTTTCACTGTCCAGACGTGTCTGGATCGTGTTGAGCATTAGTGTAAACAGAACACGAGACAGAGGAGCTAAACAGAGAGCCCAAGTGACAGCAGGAACTAGCAGGGATTTATAACCACACTTTGGAACTACTGTTAGGTTTTTAATGGTACCACTGATGCTACTTCCTGATCCAGTGCTACTTCTTCTTGTTATTTAGGAGAAAAAAATTAAACTGTTTCACAACACAATTACCTTTGCTTTGTTTTCCTGCCATCATTTTTCACGTTTAGGACTATTTCTTTGACAATATATTAACTGTGTGGTGTTAACAGTTTCACTAATAAGCAGGCGACTTCCTCCGTCACTGAGAACATTCAGTCACAGACACTGAAGTGCTCTGATTATTTCAGACTAATTTATCAGCCAGTAACGATACAATCAGCTGACCAATCCTCACTTTCAATCATGAACTCGTGTTTTGGATAATTTAGTTGAGCAGCTCTGCGTTTGGACTGTAGCCTACGGTGCTAACTTTACCAGAACGTTTACTGGACGTTTCCACAGACTGACAAAACGCTGTGAGCATCTCATCAGGTTTGACCTTAACGCTGGAATGTTTCTGTCTCACTAAAGCCCCATTCAGACCTGCGACATGGAGCGCTGCTGGACCATCGACCTGTTGAAGCATTCAGAGGTCACGTTTCTGTTCTGTTTGTTGTTGATGTGAGACTAAATGTAGCACACTGGGTTATTTCTGTTGTTTATGAGTTTTTCCGTTCAGTTAATTAATTCAAGATAAGTTGGTTGCCGATGTTTCATGTCAGTTCTGAGAGACTTTAAGTAGAGAGAAATTTGTATGCCCCCTTTAAGAGAAGGAACACTGTGTTTTGCCCCTGAGAAAAAAAAAGAGAAGTGTGAGGCGATGTAGAAAACGGGACATCCGCTTGGACATTGTTCGCTAAATAAATGCTTCAGAAAACCAAATTGAACGTGTTCCCGGCCGTTCATTACAAGGGTGCAACATAAACAGCACACGAATGCAAGAAGAGATTGAAACTAAACTCACAGCAGCTGATCAAAGTGTTGATCCAAATGACTAACAGCCCAGTGTAATGCTGAGTTTCTGCATTGATCTCTATTCACAGCCGAGTCTTTCTCAGACTTCACGGTTTACTGGGAGAGTTTGTGAAGAATTTTCACATCATTTATTGAATATTTGGTGCACTAGTGCAGCGGTCCCCAACCACTGGGCCGCGGACCGGTAGCGGGCCGCACAGAAAGATAAAGAAAAGTTTTATTGTTTTATTTCCAGCGCAGTCTACACGGTGTTTTATTTTGAAAAACTACAAGATCGTCTTCCCGTCTGTGCTCGTTTCCTGCACTTGACTGGTTTTCATGCTCAGTCGTTAAACGAAGCCGTCAGTCTCACCGCTGAGAGAAGAAAAAGTAAACACATATTTAGCAAGTAATTGTGTTCGTTTGTGAAACTTTTTAATAGAAAAAAAATACTATTTTTTTGTTATGTGTGCAATGACCGGTCCGTAGAAAAACCGGTCCATCGTGTAAAAAAGGTTGGGGACCGCCGTTCTAGTGTGTTTTGTGAACATGGACGAAGTCAAGTTCTGATAACGTAAGTACTGTTTCTGTCACTGGGGCTGTACTTTTTAGTGTCCTCACAAAGTAGTCATTATTTAACTCCATAATGGGTTCAATGTCTGATGTCGGGCTTATTTAAGGACAGTTACTATCAATAACACGCTTTGGTGAGTTTAGAACAAACATGACGTCAGGACTTTGGCTCCAGAACACAGAGAAAGATCTTAGTGAGGTTTTACCCTAAAGTGTTGGAATGTGCGACAACACGAACTAACATGTCTTTGGTCTCAGAGGAGACGTTCCTTCCTGGAAAAAGTGAATTTCAAGCTTGTTAGAAAGTGAAGAGTGACACCTGAGATCTGGATCCAGCAGCAGCTGTTTTGGGCGCTGCAGTGCGCCTGGACCTTACTCTGCTTTGTCCTTAGTAATGAGGTGGTGTCATGCTGCGGTCCTCATACAACAGAGGTCTGGTCCTGATCCTTGTTCTGTCGGGCCGGACTGCCCTCCAGAACCAGGTCCACTTCCAGAAAGTCTGGCTGGTCGCCGTCCTTAGATATTTTCTCCTCCTTAGCACTGTTTCCTTTCTCCTTGTTGCTGCCTCGTCTTTGGCACCAGCCAGATTTAGCCGGGCCGACCAGAGCCAGACAGATGGCGCTGAGGCCCATTCCAACAGCACAGGAGTAGAAAGCAGCACCATAGTTCTGTGTGAAATCCACCAACGCTCCTGGAGGGAAAGATGAGACACTGTTAGGCTCTACAGAGTTAAACAGACAGACGTACAGTAACAGGAGCAGAGATGTGGTACCTCCTAGAGGTGGTCCGGCCAGTCCAGCGAAGCTCTGGATGAAGACGTACACTCCCACACACGAGGACATCTTCTGAATACCCACCACGTCCTCCTCCGCCAGCAGGGGGATGTGAGTGGAGCCCACAGTGCCCATGAAGAAGCCGTACAGGGCGCAGCAAACCCCCAGACCCCAGAACTCCCACACGATAGTGAAGGCCACCAGAACCAGGCACAGCAGAACCACGCAGCCCAGCAGCACCAGGGTCTTCCTGCAGCGGACTCTGTTCAACACCACCCCGATGGACAAGCGGCCGAAGATTTCAGCCACAGCCATGACGGAGAGCATGTAGGAGGCCATGCTGGGCTCCACGCCGCGGCTCTTGCTCAGCTCGATGATGTAGAGCTGCGGAGCAAAGAACCCCAGCGTGGCAAACAGTCCAAAGAGGGAGTACCAGATGAAGGCACCATCTTTCAGCACGGAGAAGTCCAGGAGCTTAGGGCTGGAGGGCTGCAGAGGACCTGCCTCCTGGCCTTCTTTGTCCTGCTCCTCCCACTCCAGAGCCTTGGCTTCGGCTCCTGCCATCCTCAGGTCCACAGTGGAGGCAGAGAGGGAGGTGACGCCCGAGTCCCCCGAGCCTCCAGAATTATCCGAACTGATTGAGGTTCTGGTTTGCTCATTCTCCAGCTCGTAAACCGTCTGCATCTGCTTCAGAGAGTCTTTCTCCGATCCATCCGCCTCCTTTACAGGCTCCGGTGCGATGATGATCGGACGAAGGAGAAGCCCGCAGCCAATCACGGAGGCCTGGATTGTTCCCAGAACAACCAGACAGTAGCGCCAGCCGATGTGTTTCTTCAGTGCAGTGAGAGCTGTGAGAGACGAGGATAACGTCGGTGTTGTCTTCATTTTCAGGAGTTTTCAACAAGATCCCACTGTCTTTTCATATTTACAGCTGCTGCTTCCTGCATGTGGTTTATAATTAATGTTTATATGTGGGAGCAGTGAAGGACCTCTACCGTACAACAACCAGCGAATGGAGCAGAATATTATAAATATTCTCAAAAACAGTCTGCATCCAGAACCTTCAGCAATAATTCGCTCATACTCAAAGGTCATTTCTGGCCTACCTGACTGAACTCACCTGGAGCAAACGCAAATATAGCAAAGGATTCTCCGGAGGACGCGACGGAGGTGACGAGGGCTCGACGTCTGGAGAAGTACTGGGCGAGGATGGTGACGGTGGGGAGGAAGGTGAGGCAGTAGCCCAGACCTGAATAAGACAGGAGAAGAGAAAAAGGGGACATGACAGCCACTGGCCCGCATGGGAGGAACACTGCAGGGATAAGATTCCCTCCTTTGCTGGCTGCTTTAGAGGCTTCAGGTTTGCTACAGCTGCTGCTGAAACACAAAAGCCATGTAAAGACAAAAAAAAAAAAAAAAAAAAGGGGTGGTAGAGAGAGAGAGAGAGAGATAGGGGAGAGAAGAGAAGAAGTTGTGGAGTTAGCGGAGGTCCGAGCCACAGGAAGACAATCATCGTGGGAGAGCTAGCAGTGCTTCTTCTGTCCAAGGAAAAACCACGTTAATATACTCTGATATAAAACTCCACCGTTTAGTTCCTCAATCTCAATTTATGCCTTCCTCCTCAGCCACTTCCTGTTCCATCAATGCTGGTCTGAAAGGGAATTTAGTGCTTTTTGGGAATGTTTAGCTGCTCCAGGTTTTCCTGCTCTGTCACTCCTTCCTAGAGGGTTCAGATAGTGGAGCAGATTCATGTTTAGAGGAGGCTTTGACCTCTCAGTCATTGGACAGTTCTGAAAGAAACACATTTTGTGGTTGACACTGCTAGAAGTCCCCTTCAGTTAATTATCACAGGCTGTTAACGAAGCAGGAACAAATCAGTCACTCTGTAAATGTCACGCAGATAAACATTCATGTCAGCAGACGTGGACGAGCTCCGGTGGTGGTAGTACCTGAAACGATGCCGGTGGTGATGTACATCTCGCTGATGGAGTTGGTGAAGGCCGAGCTGATGGTTCCCAGACTGATGAGGAAGCCTCCTGTCATGACCACCGGACGATAACCGAAGCGGTTGCTCAGCACGGTTGACAGAGGAGCTGAGGGTGAAACAGAACAGTCACTTCGCTGGAACCAACTCAGTCAGGATTTAGTTCTCAGCAGCTCTGATCAGTTCACGTGTTTACTGCTAAAAGACCCAACAAGCCACATTCTGACCACGTTGTTCCCAGATTCAACCTTCTGACACTGATGTTTAACAAGCAGAGCTTAAACGGGACTAAAGGCAAACACAACAGTTCTCACGCTGTGATTCAATATTCACTCCCAGTAGCTGCACTAGCTGACAAAAACAAATCACAAAACAAATATGGAAATGTTCGGCCTGAGAAAAGGATATATGGTCCCTGCATCTGAACTTGACAAATGCTGTTTAATAACTATGAAACTCTGTAATAATATCATCTGACAAAATGAGTAAATAATGTCAACAGGTCTGCATAACCAGACATTTCCCACGTACGTCCTTGTTTGTTCATCTGATAGACAAAAAAACAATCTACTGTAATATGTGAACGAAGGCTAATGTGACACATTCCTTTGTGTCCTTTGTCCTACATTTGCAGTTACATCTAGTTTGATAAGTTCTTCACTGAATAAGCCAATAAAAAGGTGATATAACAGGTAGTAAAGCGCTCGACTCACCAGTGAAGGTGAAGACGAAGACGCAGATGGAGATGATCCAGGACACTCGGCTGTTGCTTTCCCCAAACTCCTGCATTAGGTCCTCGAGGAAGACGCCCAGGCTCTTCAGGGTCCCGTAGGTGCACACCTCCACCAAGAAGAAGGCCAGAGCCACCGCCCAGCCCCAGCCGCCATCGGGCGCCTCTGGGTAAACGTTGGGACCCAGACAGCGCTGGCTGTTGGTCCCCCTCATGGCTGCAGCAGCTACAAAAACAGAACAGGGTTTTACTCTGTATGTTTGTGTCGAGATAGTGTCAGGATTCTTTTCTGAAAGTGACACAGCAGGCCGCCACGCTGATGAGTCGGATCCAGAACGTGACCTTGCGCCACCGAGGGTGTGTCTGTGGGTTCTGGAAAGTTGACACTGATATCTGGTGTATTTAAAAGGCTCAGAACTGCGTCTCAAAGCGATGATGACGGAATCAGACAGACGGAAGCTGCTGATACCTTCAGCTAAGTGCAGGCACAACAAACGTGCCTCATCGTGTTTCTCGAGATGCCTCCAGCAGACACACATCAGATGCCGTTCCTTCAGAAGGTCTCTCAAGGTTACCATCAGCTCCATTCTGGCTCTAAACAAACAAACCTCACTAAGCAAATCCAGACTTAAGCTGCAATCTGGAAGCAAGAACTGCCAAATGTGAGCAGATAACTGAGACACAATCAAATGTGCCATCTGGAGCAACTTCGGGTTCAGTGTCTGGGATCGAAGCGCCGGTGGTAACGTGAACAACTCAGCACAGTCGCCCTAAACTAGACGTACGTGAGCCTGAAACTTCAGTTTATCCTCCGACACACACCTGAGTGTGTTTAAACACAAGTCTGATCCAGTTCAGGATGGATTAGTTAGAAGCTATGAGCTAAATGTACAGCTGAAATCAGATCACAGATGGTTTGAGTAACTACACATTACTATTTATATCAAAGGTTTCATTTAGAAAATCACTAAACCATTCAAAAAGTGACACTTCAGATGAACATTTTTTAAAGACAGGAGAACTTACACTCTTAATTCTCAATCTTCTTCTAATTTGTGGATTTTAAAAATGTCTCATTATAGTAAAGCGTTGCTCTATGGTTCTGTAAAAATGCTAAATTCCCCCAAATCTAAGCATTTGCTTTGTTAATAGCTAATACAATAAAATCAGGTCTATTTTTAAAACGGGCACTTTGCCTATAAAACAAGAAAACCGATCAGGGTGACTTCAGGTTTTTGAGGTGTTGAGTTTAAAAGTTGGAGACAGGAAACGTATAAAATGATGTTGTAGGAAGTTATGAGAAATGAGGATCCAGTGTTTGAGGTGCTTCTGTTACTAGAAAGCCAGAATATCTCTGTCTCCGCTAATTTAACTTTGATTTCGGTTCGTTCCATCTTCAGCCACACAAACGAGCCATTTGCCCCAATTTGGTACCGTAAGGAACAAAGATCCCAGTTTCCAAACCACGCTTGGTGGAGGTACCACGGCTGATGTGTTGCAGTCGTGTTAGTATAAATACAGTGGGACCAACCAAGGCCTACAGAGGACGAGAAAGACGCTGTGTTGCGCCACAAAGGTGTTTCCTGAGTGACACGAACGCATCACTTGACCTGCCCTCAGGTGTTGTCAGGAGTGATGATGTGACGCCACAGACTGTAATCAGGTCATCCAGTTTATTGTTATGTTCAGTCAAATCATTTAATAAAATAGACTAAATTACATTGTTTATCTTTTTTTGCATTAGAGATACTGTTAATAGTTATGACACTGGCCAGCCACAACATTAAAACCACTGACAGGTGAATAAACAACATGTGACCAACACACCTGAGCTTCACCTGCTGTGAGGAGGTAAAAAGTCTGAGATAAAACAGGTCCATTTACAAACCAACACATGAGCTGATCTAATGTATATGAGCATATATATATATATGCTACATGTTCCTGTTTAGACTTCACTTCCTGGTGTAATATTATCTTTATTTACTGGGTCTTTAAATTATTCTGCTTCTTCCGTTTAATATTTACCTGTTGTTTACTATAAACTGTTTCCTATATTTATTATATTTATTATGACTGATGCCGGTTGACTGGATCCGTTAAACCCAAACCCTGAGTCCTGCCCCATCAGACAGATGAACGCGCAGCGGCGGATTCCGGTAACCGGAGGAGCTTCAGCATCCTGCCGCCGCAGAAGACGTCAGACTTACCGGCAGAGAGCAGCAGGAAGCGGCGGTCCGGAAGAACCGAGTGTTTTATTCCGTCGTCATGTTGGTGGATCTTTAAAGTCCAGACGAACCGTTTACAGAACAAAGAAAACGGAGCGTTTCTGGTTAAATCCAGGAATTAAATTACACGAATTCTATCAAGTCTGATTCTACGGATGAAACAAACACGTGAATAAATAAACACGTCCGCAGAAGGTTCGGCAGAACTTCGGTTCCGCTCAGCAGCATCTTCTGTATTTCCGCCTCTCGGCGGCTCTTTACCGGCTCAAGCCAGTATTCAAACGTGTCCGCGCCGGTCGTGAACGCGCAGGGCTTCCCTCTTGGTCGGAGAGCTTCCGCGCGCTGCAGCAGCGGTGTGCTGCGTTCAGGTCCAGTGGGAAAACTATACGTTACCATGTTATCTTGATGTAGACTGTGTGTGTGTGTGTGTGTGTGTGTGTGTGTGTGTGTGTGTGTGTGTGTGTGTGTGTGTGTGTGTGTGTGTGTGTAAATCCGCATCATGAACGACTCACAGTGACCCGCACTTTCTGACACAAAGCAGAACAGGTTTGTTCCAGCATCTTGCTGCACATCTGAATACTGACTTGGTTCTTTTATAGCAAGAATGACACAAATCAGGACTCATGTGACAGAACAAACCCCTGATGGACAAAACAGGGCGTCTATTTTACCTACATATTTATCTTTCGTTTCTTTTCCTGTAAAAGTTGGTCGTCCAGCTCAGCACTGTTCAGACTTGTGAGGCTGCTTCTTGCCAGAGATGCTTTTGGAAAACACTGACTGTTTGTCATTAGTTACTACGTTGTTAATTCAAGGAAACGTTTTGTTTGAAAAAAGCCAAGATTCACCTTCTCACATTGACATTAGCTAAGAGAACACCTTCACATGTTTGATGAATTCATCATTTCTCTTAATTATACCCCTTGACATCACACAGAACACTGAGGTCTTCTTATTCATAAAATCCAAACAACGTGTCACAATGAAACTGCCTCACCTTTTGAAATAAAATAAGTGGGTTATTTCTTTAAATATAATCTTAATTAAGCAGTTGTATGTGTTTAATCTATGAAGACTCACCTGCCTCTCAGCTGGGACTGATCCTCTAACAGCTGGTGAATGTTCAGAGTGTCCTGACCTGAAATGCTTCCCAGTGAGATCCAGAGGTGTGTCTAAGAAGTGGCGTGATAAGAGCCAACCCTTGAATCTGACAGGACACTGAAAACCCAACACCAGTCCTACAAAATGCATGTATACACAACTGACTGAGCAGTGGTAGCTTCTGTGCAGCCAGTGCATGTTAGTGAAGGTTCATGCATGTCAATGCACATGAACCCCTCTATTTGAAACCATTTTAACAGATAGTGGCAAAATAAGGTTCTAGACTGGTCTCCCTAAAGTCCTGACTTAAACCATGAAGAACCTGTGGACGAATGACGAAACAAGTCAGAGTCAGAAAGACAACGAGTTTAGTCAAACTGCAGCGATTCTGTCCAGACAAGTCAAAGATAAATGAACCAGAAGCTGGTAGACGGAAACCAGAAGAACCGAACTGAGGTGAAAATGACAACATTTAATCAAATATCAGCGTTTCTGTATGTATATTTTTGATCCAGCAGATTTGATTAATTAAAAAAAAAAAAACCCTTTAATAAATCAAAACCAAATTTCATGATTGTTCTTTGTAGAGTAGCTGTACGAGTCACTGCAAACTTCAGACTAAATGGTATACGTGGTCTTTACAAGTGGAAGCAAACTTTTGTTCATGACTATAACTGGTTTAAAGGTTCTAACTGATTGTTACCAAACCACTGAAATGTGCATAAGAACCTCGTCTGAGCTTGTTTTATTCAAGACAGTGAAATAAAGTCATGCTTCCTGTCCTAACTAAAGGTCAAACCAAGTAGCCGCTAAGGAGGAACAGTCCTAATGATATTGGTTTACTCAGCACCCACTGACAGTAAAATCACATAAGACAAGTCTGAAGTCCAACGTGAGCAGATTGTCTCATTAGGACTTATGTAACTAAAACAAGATTCAGTTCCACCCCTCAGCAGAACGGTGCTCGTTTCAACAACAATACGTGATTTAGGCTATTTCTTCTCTGCTTGTTGAACTGAGACGCGCCCCGGGGAACCATTCAGCTGCTTCATCACACTGTGTCTGAGATTCCAGTCCAACCCAGAAACAAACACGTCAGATTACACAGTAACAGAGACTCGTCTCAGAGAATCAATTCATTCTTCTCACAGTGAAACGCACCAAAAAGAAAACCAAAAACATTCCTCTAAGCAATAGAAAGTGTCGGGTTTCCTTTCCTTTTACCACTGGGATCAGCAACGTGTTGTCCTGTTGGCTGTGAGGTCACCGCTGGTTACAGTGGTTCAGAATAGTTGACACCAGAGTTGCACAACGCTGAGCAACCTACTGATAAAGGACATGCGGCGTGCAAAGACTAGCTGCACAACAATACTGTAAAAATGCAGTCTTTGCTGTACTCTGTTAGTAGGGGAAACATATGAACATCTGTCAGCTAAATCGTTACCAAACAGTTTCTTCATCAATATGTTTGTAAAGGTGTAATGACATGCCTTAAAATGTTGAAGTTCAACTCCTGCGGGAAACCCCGAAAAAACCTGCTCAAGTTTGTTAAACGATTGACGAAAAATCAGTTTTTTTAAAAAAAACTTCAGTAACTTATGAGGGGTCAAATCAGGGTTTGTTCATGATTCTGAGTTGATTGTTAGCATTTATGTTTCATCACAAACCCTCCATTGTTGAAAAAGGCCACACTCACTTTACATTTACATTCACAGTAGCTTTTATGTCACATACTTATGTAACACTCAGAGTTATTTCTCAGTCAAATGTCAGAGTCATTGTCTACGTCTTCTTCAGACTCAACAACGTCATGACTGCAGTTTCTGAACGTAAGGCCTTTACAGTGTCAGGGAACGGGGTTCTGGGCTTTGTGTTTTCCTGCAGTTTTCCACCAGAGGGCGTCCTGGAGAACCACTGCTGTGCTGGGACTCATTCCCTGCAGGTGTGTTCTTCACACACCTGCAGTTCATCAGGCTCGTTACTCTGTGAATGAAAGAAGCTGGCTGAGTGTTAACCTACATGGTAACATCAAGCCTCCTCCTGAGTTTTCCTCGAGCTTCTTCCTGAGCCTCTGAGTAATTGTCTCTTTCCTTCTCTGAAGGTTTTTCCAGTGTACCTGCTCCTCACATGTAGTTCCCAACAACCACCAGACCTGAGTTTTCTCTGTTGCTTCCTGGATCATCTGCTCATGACTGGTAACGCTCCTGCTTCTCTCTCACTCCACTGCATTGACCACCGTACGACCTGTCCGCCCCCGCCGTCCACAAACCCACGTCTGGATCAACCTCATCTTTGCACATTTCCAATCACTGCAATGAATTCCAGCTACATTTCTCCTGAGTGTTTCTCTGCATGTGGGTCAGAAACCTCAACAAAACCATGACATACAGATTCCACAGGCCGAGATGCTCGTGACCTCATTCTTCTTGCAGCTGCACTCTCCATGACAGTTACAGCTCATCAACTTCAGTAGCTCCTCAGGAGCCATTGGGTCTAGTGTTGGACCTGGTTCATACCCATGCACACCTAATGTCCATCCATAGTCACTGGGCTTCAGAGACCTGCTCTGTAGAAGGATCCAGTCCTGGTCTGCAGGTCGGCTCAGAGTGAACGCTGTGCAGCTGCACCCTCTGGTAGAGGCAGAGTCTCTGGTCTTCATCACTCCTGCCGCCGCCTTCCTTGAGAACATGTTGTACCAAATTTCACCCCGTGTAGCATCTGGTCCATGATAAATGTACTAGAAAATCGCAGCATGAATCACTGCCTCCTTGTGGAAGATGTCCATGAACTCATCCACGTCCCTTCACAGAACCTGAAAAAATGCTCCAGGTCTGTGTCAAGTATAATGTGAAACAGAAATACATTTATTTTTAGTATTTCAACTATGACGACGATAATGACGATTATTTGTCAAAGTAATAGCAGTATTATCATTACTACCTGTCTAATAGAGATGTGTTCTCATGGCCAGCAATCGTAGAAACCGTATCACACCCTGTGAAGGCGTGATAGACGAGCAGGTCGCCCTTCAGTCTTTCAGAGGGAGATTCTTAGATCTTTCATAAGAGCTGCTTGATGTGGTTGAGAAGAATCTGAGGAAGACTGAAGTGACAGTCGAAACATGTCAAAGGTAAAAACAGCTCCTATCTAAAAAAATACTCATTGTCTGATTAAAAAAAGGAAACCTTATACCTGTAATCAGAGTAGACAAAATGAACCTAATCATGGTAATGGTTTAGTTGGCAGATTTGTGAAGTATCTCATAAAATGTCCTTACTGTGTGGTCATGTGCATGAATGCTCGAGGATGCAAAAATGAGAACGTGGTGGACGTTACAGTGGAACTGATGACAGGAAGTAAGCCTTCAATCTGACAACGTACTGCAAACAGTCCAGCAAAGTGGGTATGTATGCACTAGTATATAATGTACACACCGGGTTTCCTGGCTCTTTGTTTCTGTGTCATTCAGGCTTCAGCCTCAGTTCAAGGACGTTCATGAGTTAATTGGTCGGCGTGTGGTCTGTGTTTGTTGTAATCACCGTTAACAAACCTTTGATCGGTCCGGCTAAGAAACTGTCACCTGTGTGTGGTTCTGTTCATTTACATGTGATCATACGTCAGACACTCTGTTGAACCACCCACCTGGTGCCGTGCAGGTTCTCTGCAGGTATTCTGGACCTCTGAGGGAGTTCTGGGGCTGTTTGTCGGCTGTAAGTGAGTGTAATATCTGATAAACTTAACCTTAAAGTCATTTATTCAGCTCTTCTCTGTGTATCGGAGTCATCTAATGCTGCTTTCACTTGCACTGGGACACAATAGTTTCATTACCTAAAAGTTAGACATCAGAGTTCAACTGAATACATTTCACTAACTAACTGAAATAGGCTGTTTTTCTGTTTCCTGCAGGCATATGTAAGTTTGGCAGTAATTGTTTGTCAGGCAGCACAGTCACAAATAAAAACTGCTTATCTGGAAAGAAAATAAAATACATCAAACTGAACACGACAAATGTTTTTCTTTGCATAGGTTAATTTATGCTCCGTTCTATATGTTTATTTCTTTGTTTCTTTCACTTGTTTTGGTCTTGTGCATTTAGCAAAATACTTTTTTTTTCTTCTTTTTTTTCTCTCTTTCTTTTTACAAATGATACAGGCACAAACATACAGTACATCTCCAGCCTCTGAAACGTCTCCAGGAGGCAAACACGGAAACATTGAATACGTGTCAATGCAGTAACTTCTAATACAGAATAAAAACAAAAAGACAATTCATAATCTAAAACATTATTAATGAGGAAAAAATAAAAACGTTGCTACAATGATGCAACTTAATAAAATATTTGTCAAGTAATAATGGTATGAAAACTGTGGTTATATTTCTGCTCCAGCATGCAACTTATATCTTCAGAAAACACTCCTTAAACTCCCTGATTTTTTT